AATAAATATGTTAATTATTTTATTTAGAAAAAGCAGACCGTTTAAAATTGTAGGTATGTTATAGATCACATTATTACTTTACTGTTATACAGTTTAATTCTGGTATAGTAATGAAATAGCCAAGCCATATAGTTTAACTTACGAGAGTTTATGAACTTCAATCATACAGAGTAGATGCTTGGCTCTACTTGAGATCTGAGTATTTTTGATAATGTGAGTCATATAGTGTCACCTTGAGAATACTTTACTTGCGAATGGTTTTAACTCTTAATTAGTGCTTAAAAAATGTTATTGTTTGATTTCATATTAAAGAAAAATATTTAAATTCACCCAAAAACGGAAAATTTATAAATCATATATATACGTATGTCTGTCAGACTTTATGATTGAATTTTTAAGAATTAAATTAAAGGGCTAAATTTTGGGTTATAAACACAGAGACTTAAAAAAAATGTCAATATTACTAAAAAAACCCAATATTTTGTTTAATATTTGATTTTTTATATTTGAGTAAAGACCCTTTCTAGGCAGTTTTTTTGATCGTCATGACCTGAATGCTGCGTATAGTGTGCATATTATAATTGGATTATTGCCTCTTAAGACGAACTGTATTTATTTTAAGCGAATACAATCCTTTAATAATTGAACTGAATTATTTGATCAAATAATCTTTAATAAAGTGTCTGTGAATAATTGCGAGGATGGAAATGAGGAAGTTTAAAATATAGAGATTTTATTTAAAATTTCTTTATGATTTATTAAAATTTCATTTGATTTTTAATTACATGCAATATCTTTGAGTCACTTATAGTTGAACACCTCCTTAAATTTCACTATTTCTAAAATCTCTTTTTAAATTAAATAAGATATAAGAATAAGAATAATAAGGATAAGGGGCGGTCGTGCACCTTGCATTCAATTTTTCTCAATTTTATTTATTTCAATAATTAAAAAAGACCTTGTATAGTTTTAATGTCAATTTTAATGACATCAATTAATGGTATCACAAAGCAAACAGTTGATCGAAATTGGGAAATCTTTCAGGCTTGAAATTATTCATCTTGATATTTTGTTATAATTTTTTTTTAATTATGGGTCGTCTGACTTTCCAGTTTTAATGTAATACTTAATTTCTTATCGGAAAACTAAATACAAAGTTCCTCTATTCTTGAATCTATTACAAAAGATACATAATATTTTTCGATTTAATAATATCGTAATTTAATTTAATTAAAGTAGCCTTTAAATGAGCTTTTTGTCAAAATTAAGAAAAAGTAAAAATAAATAAAAAATAAGTAAAAAATTTCAATTACAAAAACAAATATTGTGAAGTCATCCTCAACATATACAAATACATATATTCCATATTACGTAGCTATTATACAAATCAACTAACCAAAACGCCAATCAACTAAATTAGTTTATTTTTATTTATGCGAACACTTTTTAAGTTTGGTTTTCCCTTACATATTTATTTATTTTTTTGAACAATAGTTATAAAAATTATAACGTCAAGTTAATTATAAAGCAAAAAAATCCCCTAGTCTATTGATTAATGAATTTTTATAATATAAACTTTATGTACTTTCGAATTTAAAAATATTTAAATTTTAAGTTTAATATTAATTTCATTTGGCTATAAATAAAATCACTTATGTTTTCATTCTACGTTGGAAAGCAAAAAAATGGTGCGGTTTATAAGAACTACGTCAAAGTTTTTGGGCAAAACTGGTTATACGATTTAGTATTTAGTGATTATTTAGTATGAATTGAAATACTTTCCATAATAAAAGCAGATTTTTAAAATAGAAATGAATGTTCGCTTATGTGTTCTTAACTTTTAAATGAACAATGCAGTTGTCAAATTCATTGTTTGTAAAACAGCACATCTCGGTTTAGTAATTTTATTGTAGGATAGAGCTTGCAAGTTAGATACGGTAGTACTTATAGTTTTAGGTACAAGCAAATGAAAACGATTCATTGAAAAAATTTTCTTATTATCATATAATTTTGCATAAATTTAGGAGAAATATTAAACTATTTGTTCTTGAATAACCGACACCAACATAAAGTTTAAATTTGATTTCTAAGTACACAATTTAGTTCAAGCATATGGGTAAATTTTTGGTCAAAAAATTCACTGTTACTTGTTTACTTTTGCAGAAGTTTAGTAGAACTTACAGTGTCGAACAAATAAAGGACCATAAATTGGCATATTGTAAACTTTAAGAAAATAGCAATACAGAAACTTTTAAGGAATATTTGCCGATTTCAATAAATTACAAGTACATGAATTACATCTGGGTTTTCATGTTGAAGTAAAAGTACTCCGAAAATTAGGGAAAAACCGGTTCGAAGGTTCAATTCGAAAGTCTGACATTTCTTTTTAAATTTTTATTATGTAGTAGTCGTGAAACAACGGACAGATGAATTAATAGGCAAAGTGAAACTAATAGCCATGTTATTTGAAAATATCTTAAAAATAAGAAACAAAAATAAATAAATCTGACCACCAAATAGTTTCTAATAAGCTAGCATACTCGATTTGTAGTGCTGTAATAAAATTTGTAAAAAAATAGATACAATCCAATGTAAGGCATAGAGTATTCCTATATACCTACTTAACAACATTCTTATATTTCCATGTTAACATGTAAATCCATATTATGTACATATGCATACAAGAGTTCATAATGTCAAATATCAATGGTAAGGTAACATTAAACTAGTATTTGGTAAAAGAATTTGCGAAATTTAAATTCAGTGAGTAAAGATGCAAAAACATAAATAATAAACAAAAATAAAATAAAATAACGTTGAAAATAAAATGTTCATTAGCACATTTCCAACAAAAAAACGTTTGTTCCTTTATGTTCTGTCCGTCTATCAATTTTGAAAATTTTTATCAAACTTCTGCATCCTTCGATACTTATTTGACATATTAAAATTAAAAGACATCTTCCGGAATAAATATACGTTATCACTTTTCAAAACTTCTCATTTTTTATGGAATGAAAGTAATCTCTCCATAGGATTTCAGACAATTAAGTAGAGTGTCATGAGACACAGTTAAGTAGACAGTTCAATAGTGCCAATTAATTTTACGCAAAACAGAAGGTTCTGAAACACAATGTCCATATATAACACAATTTATCTAAAGCACACACTTTCTTTAAAAAAATATATTTAAATTTGATAAGCTCCACAATTTATTTTGCCAATTCATGCTGAATAAAATTAAGCCGTCGTTTACTTAAAAAAAAACAGTACTAATTTATTCCAAATTTTTGTTATGTGACGTCCGATTATTTAAAAATAAAGAAGCTTTAAAAAAACAATAATTTTTCAATAAAATAAATTATATAATTAAATATACATACTAGCATATTATAATTTTATAAGTCATGCGTACCTATATGCAAAAAAGCAAATATACATAGATATAAAATATCTATGTATATGGAAAAGCTAATTATCATTATATTGAAAATGCCGATAAACTTTATATTCTATGATGTTTAAGTTTTTCATAATTATGTTATTAACTTGTATACAATTTATATACCGCAATTGAAATTACCTAAATTTGATATACTGCATAGAATTCAGAATATTTTGCAGGTTTATGTGCTGGCGATATATAACAAAAATTGCATTAAGTAAAAATTTATTGTAGATGTTAGAGTTATGCTTTAATTATGGCCCCTAATAATGTTAGAGTTATGTTTTAATTTAGGATAAATTTCAATTTTCAAATAAATTATTGCTATGTATGGAACATATCTACTCAAAGAGCTTACTAAATCTGAAGCTCCAATAATATTTGAAATTAATTTTTAAAGTTATCACCCTACACACATGTACATACGTATTTTAAATAATGAAATATTATTCAAAGTTAGAGATTAAGTAATTAGTTAACATGATATTAAGTTGGCTTAGTTCAATTAAATAAATAAATTTTATAAAGAGCGTGGCTCAATGAAATACTTTGAAATTTAAGTTTTACTTCTTTTAAGACTAGTTCGAAAAAGATCAGTTTATTCCAAACTAGACTATTCTAAATTCTAAAATTTATCCAGAAATTTACTGTTTTTTACAGGCATTCTCTAATTTTTTTCCCTCTAATCTGTAAATGCAAATTAAAAAACAAAAAAGTTTGTTTCAAAATTTTAATTCTCATATTTAAAATTTTGCTGTTTACGCAAAATAATACTAATAGTTCGGTTACTCCCCCACCCAAGAAATTACGCTAGAATTTTTTTGTTCATTTTTTTATATGTACACATATGTATAATAATGTACATAATATATGTACATATGTATGTATATATACTAAATATCATATTTTCATTCTGTTCATCGCTCCAGCAAAAACTACAAAATAAAAAAAAAAAAGATGAAAACAAAATTGCTAAAAGCTTTTTTTTCCAATATCAGGTTTACTTTATGGATAATCTTCAAATTTAAAAACAGTTATTAACGTGATCTATCCGTGTATCTTACTGATATTAACAGAATTAAATAAAAATCTGAAATGTTGCAAAAATAAAATATAAGATTTTATTCGAGACTTTAAAATAATCTTATACTTAAGTATATGTGCTTAGCTCTAGTGTAAAATACTATAAATTTGAAAATTGAATTCTTTTGAGAAAATTTTGTGATACTAGAAATTTAATATGCATAACAGAAATAACAAATATAGTATGTAACGTGTTTGCATAGTGTGTATTAAATTTATAATTGTATTTTATCTCTTAGCACTCTGTATTTATACATTTTGTAAGTGAGTCTTATATGTACCTATACATCACATTATACATGTATGATTCTTTGTGCATTCATAATCATATGTACATATGTTTGACATAAAAAGTTGTTTATGTTCTAGAATGTAAGTGAAAAACTATTGCAATATTGCATGCAGCAAGTTTTTATTTACGAAAAAAATTTTTTTTTTGTATTTTTCAAATTTTTCTATAATTTAGTGTACAAAAATTTAGTGTATAAGTGTGCGCTGTTGAATAAGGTATTTTTTGTGTTTAAATTTGTTGAATAGAAAAATTTTAAATAACTGACCAATTATAGCATTATTTTTTCCCTAAATTAAATTTAAAAATAAATAATTGCAATAATGTACAAATAATAATGTGCCAATATTATATTTAACATACACACATACAAAATACAGGTGTATACCAAATATAAAAGTTTTAAACAAAAGAAAAAGTAAATTCAATACCTTGAAAGAAATTATGTGCCAAAATATTGATACTGTTATTAAAGAAGACCTAAAATAAATTAATAAATACATTCAAAACCAGCTTGAAAATTTTAATTAGCATAATTAACACATATAAATACAACATACATTTATACACATGCAAATGAGTTATAATTAAAAAAACAAAAGTTTTTTATCAAATTTATTGAAAAGAAAAAAATTAATAAATATGAAAATTCCTACTTAATTTTCGGCGCTTATAATAAATATAACAATTTTATATAAAAATGGAAATATTCTCAATATAAAACCGGTCTTACAAGATTGTTATTATATTATTGAAGAGGTAAGAGAAAATCTTAATTAATAATTAATAAGAATAGAATATGTACCTTATGTACCTTAATATATGTAATTTATTATACATTCTATACACACACCTGTTATATGTATAACTACAACTTATAATTCAAAATTAATTTTCATAAATCAATAAAATATTTGACGCAATTATTGTTTAAAATTAAATGCCATTTTTTTATTTTTTTTTTGCAATCTTGAATTTTTTTTATGTTTAAAATTAAAGTTGATCTTATCTTAAGAATTAATGAATTTTTAAAATTTTACCAAATAACTAATTAATTTAGATTTAAAATTCACCAGAAACGTGTTTAATCCTTTGCTATTTAAAAAATTCATAAATAGCATAAGCAAATTCTATTAATTATGCTAAGCTAATAATTAGCATAATTATTATTTTATAGAAAAACATTGAATGCTTAAGACTAATTTATATATGTTTGAGCAGTCACTGCTATTATTTTATCCGAAGCGATCTTTAACGAATATGAAGATGTTATTCGTTCCAAACTGCACAAACAAAAGAGTCACCTGTAATGTTTTCTTACATGCTAAGATTCAAATAAGGTTTTATTTTATCACACCCCGTGGAAGAAGAAGGTTTGCCTTTTGAATTTTGATAATGCACGATTAAAAACAATAAATTCATATCTATGGGCGAAGTAGATCTTTCACTTACTTTCACTTTCAGGTTTTTTAAGGTATTTGTTTTTCCAATAATTTTAACAACTTCTGGAAAGTGAAACTTATATTTATAGATAAAATTTTTATCAATACAAAAAGGACGTATTCTCAAAATCTCTTGTTAAAAGCCTCGTTAATTACTCGTAATATTTATATTTTTAGGAATTAAGATCCTATTGAACCAACCACTTTTATTTTTACTTTTTCATTTCGATATTTATACCGCTGCAAATATAGAAATAGAATAATATCGTACTTCCTAGGGGTGCAATATGAAACGTTTCGATCGCTTTCTTATAACTGCAATGGGAATTATGATAAAGTGGAGGAAGTGGAAAAAAATTTTTCAGTTTACTCAAACATCTTAGACAGTATTGGAATGATTATATTGTATATATAGCACTGTATTGGAATGAGTAGTAAAATATTCTGTTAATTTTCAGAGAATAAAAACAAAAAGTTTAAGTTAATATAAACTTTTGGAAAAATAAACAATTCTTGTGTAAACAATTCTTGTAAAAATTTTAATATATTTGTAGTGTTACTGTTTTATTTTTAACTAAAACACCTGTTTTCAAATTAATTGCTTATAACTTATTGACACCTTTCTTAAACTTCAGCTGTCAAGAGACTTGAGACTCTTCCATTTATGTAAACAATTAATAGTATTCCAAGCCAATTGCTTATATATGCTTTAAATAATAACGTATTGTAAACAATAATTTAATATTTAACCTTCTTTATTTTGCTTCAATATCTCGAAATTGATTAGTGACGCAAAACTGTTCTTCATAAGTTTTTTTTCTTCAAAGGCGTAACTCAAGTTGTGTACACAAATCCTCTTACTTTATTACTTGAAATTGAAAAATGTGGTTGTTCAAAAAATGTACTCTAGATTTGTAAAATTGCACATTTCTCTCTGACAGTTTAGGTCTCGATTTTGAATTAGTATGGCTTTAGGTCTAAGTAATGAAAACGATATAGATTTTACATAAAATTAGATAAAAAGCGGAGTGATAATTTTCGAAAAACTTAAGGCATAAAAAAGGTATATACTTTTCTTATATTTTAGAATTTTGTAGAAGTTTTCAAAGCTTGTATTGGTTCCAATAAAAATGATCGGCCCAAAATTCAAATTTTTCAAATTTCAACGGGTAATATTTTGGAAGGAGAATTAATAAATTAAAAGTTTGTCCATATTATTTTAAAACATTGCTCCCAAAAATTAGTAAAATAACCGGCTTGAGAAAGTAATTAACAAGAGGGACCAATTCGATAGCTTGACCAATACGTTAGCTTGAATTTTTATTTACGATAGAAGCAATATTAGTGCTTTTAGTTAGTAGTTTGTCAAAAAGTTGCATTGTCACGACAAGTTATAACTTTTAGAAATAGGGGATATAAAAATTTTGTAAATGGATAGATAGCTTAAAACTAATAGGCACATTTTTCAAAATTTTCATAAAATGTCCCAAAAAATATGCATTTTTAGTAGGCGTAAAACAAGTTAAAAAGAAAGTGAAACAGCTGTCAGTTTTAATAATAGTATCATAAATGGATAGGGGTATTGCACTATTCCTTAAACTGTTGTAAAAAACTTATTTTAAATTGTTTTCTGAAAATTATATTTTATTATATTTGCGGCATATTATGCAAAACGACATTATCTCAGGTTTCAAAGTTAGTGAATTTATATGTAAGCGGAAGTAGTATGACCTATTAAGTTTTTGACCTTTATATTTGAATTATTTCGTACATCCGATAGTTATAAACTAAAATTTTAAGCTCGAATTTATCATATTAATACATTTAGATCGATACGGTTACGTATGTAGTATAATTTATTTTTTGGTTCACGGCCACACATTATTTTTAAAAGCTCACTAAGTTATGACAAAAAATTTGTTTAAAAAAATTTTTTGAACGTGATTTTTCGTTGATTTTTATAAATACCATTTACTATTTTTAAAACGAAATTTTTAGTATCTACTACTCCGCTATGCAATAAAATTTTATGATTTCAATTACTAATCAAAAATTGCTTTGTTTTTAAATTAATTATTAGGTATACAAATGCATATATTTATAGATAGATTTAAGGGCATGATAGTTGAAAAATAATTTGAGAGCCGGACAAAATATATTTTTTGAAAGTCTAATTTGTAAGTCCGATGTAGTTGAAAATACAAATAACAATTAAGAGGTCTTGATATTAAGGTTTTCACTATTTACTACATACGTTAACCTCGGTTAACGTTTTAAACTCGGGTTTTTAAACTCGGGTTTTTAAACTCGGGTTTTTTGAATTCTCGCAAGATATGTACATGTGTATGTGGGTATATTTCGCTGACTTCAATTGTGTAGATATATGCGGTATAACTGCAGAACTACTAACGCTATAGTAGCAAGTTCTGTATTTAAAAACACTCTACATCATTAATTTTGCTTTTGTTGAAATATCGAAATATATTAAATCATTGCATACATTTAGGATAAGATATTTGAAAGAAGCGTTAAAACACTGATCGAAAAATTTGAAAAAGCTGGGAGTTTCCGAAAATGAAACGATGAATATTTCAGTTTTATGAATTTCGCTTTTTTGAAATATTTCTACCGAATCCAACTATTTATTAATGTCTAAAAATTCCTAATATTACAAGTTCTATAACTAACCGTCTAGAAGAAAAAATAATGATAATTCAACGGTTAATTTTAAAAGAGGGAGATTAACATGTCAACCGTAACGATGTTAAATTTATGTAGTATTTTTAAGTATGCATAAATTTTTCTATATTCGAAATACTCAGTATATGGGTATCGGACTTGGAGATTTTTGTGCATGTAAATTAATATTGATTGTGAAAACCGTAGGCCTTGTAACATTGCAGTATAGTAAGAAAGTTAACGAAATGGCAGTATGACACACTTGTACATTACAAAAAAAAGAATATCATGAGCTTTCAAGTGAGTTAATTCTACTTTCAACTTTTTCCGAGTTATAAAGAATTTCGAAGCCTCATATTTCAAAGCACTTTGTTCATTAATTCTGCGCTATGATAGTACCGGTAGTCACATGTATATTCGAATATATATAAATGCATCTATGGAATGAACAATTACTTTGCCCATTATTTTTAACAATTATATTCTGTAATCCCTGCGAACTTACTACATTGTTCTGTACATTCTGTTAACTTTACATTATTGTTGAAATTTTGCAAATTATTCAAAAGTATGCGTTCTTCAACTATTTTAATTATTTTGTTTAATTTTTAGGCTTAATGGATCATTAACAGAAGCATCCACCAATTTTATCTAATAACTCGAATGACCATCACCAAATTGAATACAACTTATATGGTAAGTTTTAATTTCTGAAAATGTTGATTAAATTTTTATATTATTTATTTCTTTTTTTTTCTTGCTTAAAGAAATCACGTCCATTTATAAATGACCAATTAATTTTATTATACAAATATAATCTACAACAACGTTTTTGATTTACAAAAGAAATTACAAATTAGTAGAAGATTTGGTGTTATGTGTGACAAGAAATTACTTCATATGTAAAATTTTATTGCACTTTGTGCAATATTTACAATATACATGCAATAACATTGCAGAACACAAAAGGAAATTCAACACCGAATAAGCTTTATGTAAACTTTAAAATAATATAGAGAAAAATCATCATCACAAATTAGAGAATTTAATTAAGAAAATACAGTCTTCGAAATCACTGTGATAAAAAATTATTGTATAGAATTTTATAGGTAGACTGAACAACTAAAAAACAACAAAATGAAGCTCCTGAAACAGCTATTTGCAAAACCGTATGTATCTATTATTTCATACACATTTTCCACATTATTATTATATTATTTTGTTTATTTATATATATATAAGAATTTACTAATATCTTTATACCTATATGTTATAAATTTAGGTATATAAATATGTATACCATAATAATTGTAAATAAGTATATTATTATCACAGCTTTATTTAATTAACGCTCAAAATTTGATTCAATTTAAAAAGTTTTCATAATAAATCTAAATTTTTATTTGGTCTGACAAAATAGAAAACGTTTTCTAAAAATTATTTTCGCCGTCACACTCCATGTAATATTTATGTTAAAATTAAATTATATTATTTTATATAATTCGCCATTTTATGGCGACTTTCCGTACTACATTCGAATTCACGTTATTTTAATAAGTTACTGTATACATAAATGGTTACATAATTGTAAAAATGTTTAAAATAGGATTATAATATAAAGTTGGAAGATAAAGGACGGCTATAATAGGTAAAGCTAATATATAGAAATTTTTGAAATACCAGTTCAGTATACTTCAGACAGATTTATGGAAACAAGTTCAATCATCCTCGAAGACGATATTGGGATACTAGTGAAATATGATCCTTCTTTAATAACTTCTTCAAAAATCATTTTGCTAAAATTTTTCTTATTATTTTTTACCCTTTTTTGATGTTTTCTAATATTTCACCCAAAAAAGTCAAATTGTGATGATTTTAATTAAACTAGCAGTAATCTAATGCCAATAATTAATTAAGTTTTCTAAATTCTGATTCGTTGTCAAAAGTGATACTATAGCCTTCTTGAGTTTGCGGAAATTCGAAATAACATTGAGAAACAAAAGTAAGATTTTCATATTTTTTTCTGTTTTAAATAATACGGGCGATAAAAACTGATAAATTTTTGTGGGTCGTTGAACACGAAATTTCACTTTCATTATAATTTATATTATTTCATCCATCATTTATGGCGATTATATTTAGGTATTAAATCAATATTCTAACAAATTTACAAACCATTTCTAAAATATATTTTTAATAAAAACAGTTTATCAGCTACTACTATAGCGTTAATATTTTAAACAATTCTAAGTGCACATGCTCATGAGATTTTAACATTAAACTAAATCTAAAAGCGAGTGTTGATTCAATTGAAAGCACAAATCTTTTATTTTATTGTTCATTAGTTTGTTAGCTTTTGCTTTTCATACTTTTTATTTAATATTTATTTATTTGTATATTTCATTGTTTGTTGAACTTGCCTTTCATATCTAGAAGTATGTAGAATATATTGTTACTTTTTTTATATAAGTAGTAAATAGACACATACATACATACATACATATACATTATTTTTATTAGAGTGAATGTTTAATTTTTTGAATGACATTTGAAAATATAAGTAAGTTAGTAAAAAAATATTTGATATTAAATGTAATTAAAGCTTTAATGTTTTTATCAGAAGAGTTTCACTAAAATGTGTCTAATAGTTCGATATTATTATTGTTCAAATTTGACAAAAATGTCATAAAAAACGCATACCGAGCAAAATATTCCAAAATTATGTTAAAAGGTGTGTAAAGTGTATTTATTATAACAATGGAATTGTGTACTAATGGTTTTGAATTCTGAACTTACTGGTGCTTCCAGTGAAATAATAAATCTATAATATTTAAAATTCAAGTCGATTCAACTACAGTTAATGACAGAACCAGCAGAAAATTGAATATTTTGGGGCCTTCAATCAAAAATCAATTTTCAAAATTGCAATAACCCATAATCTTATACTATAATATTTATTACAAAACAATAATTATAAAAGTATAGGTAAAAGCGAATTAAGATTTCATTTGATTTCGTATAATAGAATACCTTCAGGAAAGTTTTATATTCTTCCATGTAACTTTCTTAGAATTTTTTGTTTTAATGATAAAATCTCACATCAGAACTTCTAACATAAATAAGCAATTAATACTCTTTACTGCACTTGAAGTTGTCTTAAACAACCTGTAGAACGAGAAGACATGCTGACTTCCAATCACTACATAAAATTGAAGTCTTCATGTATACATATAACATATAGTACATATATGTATTTGCAAATATATTCCGAGAAACTGCAAGAGCCATTGCTTTCCGCAAATCTTAAAACATGTGTATGAAATCAGTATTATTAAACGATAGTGAATCATAGTTGGTATAGAAAAATAATATGTAAGAGTTGCTAGTGTTCATCAATGATTGCAATAGATCATAATCCGTCCTAGACCTTGCATAATCTGACTTAAAAGAATAATGAACAAGAACTATGTGTAATAACGAAGCAAGAACCAATAAACGGCCACAGATAAAAAAAAATCTGATGTGGTCAGCACATAACCGACCGCATTGTATATTGTCTAGTTAAGTAAAAGTGTTACGGAATATTATAAAAATGTCTTTTAAATACTTCTTTCCAATTTTTAGGATAGTAGTAAGCTTATAGTTAACATACCTAGAAAAATGTAAATTTGGCTCTTAGTAGAGTTTCGCTTCGTGCTACCCGAATTCCCTGAAATGCTCGCCAGTTAACCAGAACTCGAATATTAAATTTCATGAAATTCCATCAATTCGTTCCGTACCTATAGTGGAAAATGTAAAGTACGAAAGACCGACGGACCGACAGGTTGCTAAAACTAGTTTACTTACACTTCCCTACTATGGGAAATAGTTTACTTACACTTCCCTACTATGGGAAATAGTTTACTTACACTTCCCTACTTGTTGCCATCACGTAACCTACCTATTGTTTACACAATACGGTCGGTAACAATGAGAATAGTAAAGTAAGCCAGCAATTTACGAGCACAAATGGCTACATTGTTTTTAGCATTCAATAATGACTGCATTAATAGCACTCTGAAAGGGAATAAGACATTACATAATTTTATTTTAGACCTACCATGCATGTATGTCTAATAGCTTCTTTAATGAATTGAGGATGTTTAGATATGTTATATAACATTATTCTCCCTCTAAAATTTTTCATCCCTGATTATTGTATATTATAATTGTTTTAAAGTAGGAACTAGTTTGCTATTACGTATTATAAAAATCTGTTGTCAGAGATCAATAATCTTGCTAGGTAATAATTTAATTGTATAACTAAAATTTAAATTTGTGTTTCATTAGAATATGTGAAGCGGTTGTATGTATGTATGAGTCGTGAAATTTTGAAAAATATTTCAATTATTGTATTATCATTTTTCTGGCTGCTCTTCTTTTCTCTTTTTTACATTTGCGACTTTTTTTTTCTGTAAATTGCCGTTTCTTATTATGTAGGTAAAATTTAAAGGAATAGCATCATAGCTTTTTATTATATTATTTTTGTTATAAGGAGACGTAAGTATGTATGTATAATAAAATGTTCTGTGCATGCAATGTGTGTATATACCGTCATGTTATTATTCATATTGTCCAGATAAATTGTATATATATATATATATCTACATAGAATGTAATCATAAGTGTGTATATACACATAGGTACATGAAAATATGAACTTGAGTACAGATTAGTTATAATTTACTTAAATTAGAATTTATTTAAAGAATATTGTATTGTTCATTTTCTTTTAGATACCTCGGATTAAGACGAATTTGAACTAAAAACTTGAGTTAGTTTTGAAATAGCTTTGATTGTAGAACTGTCGGTTAGAGTGTAAATATTTTCATATTTCTATACTTTTTTATTTTCTTTCCTCCGCTATAATTATAATGTTATAAATAACGGTTAAGGTTTGGAATATTTTAAACCCACACATACTTTTACACATCGCATATTTATTGGAATGGTTCTTACTTAGTTTTATTTAAAATTGATTAGTGATTTTAAGTAAAATTAGACTATTTATTTAGTTAAGCAAATAAATAAAAAAATTTTGTAAATTTAGAAGAATAATTGTAGTAAAAAAGTAAAAAAATAATTTTCTAAAGTGCTAAAATAATTTTTTTTAAGAAAATCGTTATAATATTAAATAAATAAAATAAAAAATCAATTTATATAAGTATTATGTTGATAGATTGAACAAAAAAATAATAAAATTTTTAAATTAATAAAGTGTTAACATGAGTTTTATTAGAATACTTACACGGATAAACTCATTTTATATGTATTTAAACTAATTCTTGTGAATTAAATTGTATTAATTTAAGTATAACAAGAAAAAATTGTGTGAAAATTTAATTTAAAAAAATTGAATTACTTAATTTTACTCATAAACAAATTTACTTTTATACTGTTATACCGTATAGGTAATATGTAGTTTCAATGAATGAGATGGTTGAGATTGTGTGTAAATGCAATGTGAATATATTACAGAGGTGCTTTCCTTTGACACAACTGAATTTCTTATTATATTATTATTTATTATATGAAATTGACAAACTTTTTATATGATATTTTGACGTCATTCAGCAACACTCATTATGCGATTATATAAAATGAAAATTATGCTGAAAATATAAAATTATAATAAAATTATGCTATAATTGCAAAATTGAAGACAAACTAAAATAGTTAAATATAAAAATGTAAAATAAAAGTAATTATTTCTTCAATCTAGTAAACTAATATTTTCGAAACTGAAAATAACAAATTTTAATAATTAAAGTGTGTGTAGTTAAGTTAAATGCGATGTATAGAATATCCTTAAATAAAATATTATCAAATTACAAAAAGGAGGCCTTAACAATTTTAAAATTCACTTTTCTACTCTACTTTGGGTTTGTAACGTTATATATATTTTGTGGAGACATATTACAACGCCTATATTTTTATATGAACGGATTAAGTGGTTTAAAATTTTTTTTATTCTTCAGTTTTATTTTAATATTGCATACTTATTGGCGATGATTTATTTCCATTTTCTATAATAAAACATGTAAATATGTATGCATTTAAATTAATATATTTTTACCGACCGAAATTGGATGTAATAAGCGAGGTGATGTGATGGCAACAAATTTTACAT